GTGTGTGTGTGTGTGTGTATGCGCGCCCACACACGCACAGGTGCATCTGCTCACAGGTACACATACACATGTATACAAGTGCATGTGGAAGTCAAAGGTCAACTTCAGGTGTTGCTCCTCAGGAGCCATCACCTTGTTTTCTGAGGCAGTCTCTTCCTGGGAACTGGAGGTCACAGATTAGTCTACAATGGCTAACCAGTTGGGCCAGGGTCCTGTGCGTCTCTACCTCTCCAGGGCTAGGTTTATAAATATCCACCATCCTACCCAGATTTTCGGGACCAAACTCAGGCCCACACACTGCACATCAAGTCCTTTACCAACTGAGCTATCTTCCTATCCCAGAAAACTCATTTTACAAACACTAGAACCCAAAGTACAAAGCAGAGTGGTAAGTCAAGTATAACAGAGGAAAAAAAAACACACACACACACACCAGAACCCTCACACAGCACAAAGGATAAATTCTTTGTCAACGGCATGCTAACAGCAAGCCTCTCCAGGCTTCTGAGATCATACACCCCTGGAAAATCAAGACAGCACTTTCCTGCCCTCCCGACAACTGCCAGGAAAGCCAGTGGAAAAAATAGGCAAGAAATTTCAAGAATATTCTAAAATTCACTCCCCAAGAAAGCAAGGGAAATCAGACATGATGGCACATGCCTATAATCCTAGCACTTCCAAGACTGAAGCTGGAGGACTATGTGGTTCAAAGCTAGGCTAAGCTAATTAGTAAGGCCTTGTCTTAGAAGGTGAGAAAGGAAGCTGGGGGTTGGGGGGAGGCATGGCTCACTGAGCACAGTGCTTACCAAGCAAGTGTGAGGACCTAAGTTCAAATCCTCAGAACCCTCAGAAAGCAAATCCTGGTAGACCAGGTCTGTAATTCCTGTGCCATCAGATGAGCAGCAAAGACAGGAGACTTCTAGGCCAGGCAGCTGGCACATGCAACAGCAGAAAAACAAAGAAAAACAGAGAAATCTCTGTCTCAAACAAGGTGGACAGTGAGGACTAACACCCAAAGCCACTCTCTCTGACCTCCACATGGGTCCTGGCACGCACACATCTGACATCCAAACAGACTTTGAGGGGGTGGGGGGGGCGTGGCTGCAATGAAGAACTCTATGGTTCAGAGTGCTTGCCACTGCCTGTGTCAGGAGGACCAGAGTTTAACTCCCAGTACCTACATCAGGCACCTCATAACTCTCTGTGCCTGCAGCCTACAGCTCTACGGGATCCAATGCCCTCTTATGGCCTCAGAAGGTGCCTATACACACATGTGCAGACACACACACACACTCACACACACACACGTGAAAAAACACAAATTTTTAAAGAAAGGAAATGTAAAAGGACAGAGGGATTTATACATTGTAATTAATTAATTTAAGCAGCTGAAATTAAAAAATATAGCTCCTTCTCTTAACAAAATTAATTTCCATGGTACCACTATTCCTTCTTCCAAAGTCCTGAATTTTTTTTAATGTATTGATTAACAATAGAAAGGAACCTTAAATGTAAGAAGCTGAATGATCATGCAGCATTTCTTCTGACAGCGAAGATATTACAAAATGAGAAAGATAAAACATTTTAATGGCTACCCGTATCTAAAGCTTTGTGAGATTTATAGCTATGATAGTTGTGTTTGAGAGCATTATCTTTCAAACCATAAGTCACATAAGTAGTGGATTATGAAGTCAATTTGTGGACCACTATGGTATCACTTCCTTTGCTACTGGCTATGGCAAAATGCCCGAGAATACAAAAGTAGACCAGGAAGCTATGGTGGTTTGAATTAAAATGGCTGATAGATTTGAATGTTTGGTTCCCAGTTAGTGAATTGTTTCGGGAGGATTAGGAGTTGTTGGGTGGGGTATGGGGGGTGTCACAGTCTCTCTCTTTTCCCTACAGCAACACCCTGCCAATAGCATCTGCCTCCTGCCTGAGGATCAGGATATAAGCTTCAGCTACTGCTCCAGTGCCACACCCGACTTCCTGAAGCCACCCTACCCACCATGACCGTCACAGACCAACCCTCTGAAACTATAAGCAACCCCCAATTGAATGCTTTAGTCTTTATGTTGCCTTCATCACGGTGTCTCTTCCCAGCAATCCAGGACCTCTGGAAGAGCAGTCAGTGCTATTAACCTCTGAGCCATCTCTCCAACGCCCAGAGTATTTTCTTTATTTTTTTTTTTGGTTGCTTTTATTTCATTGATTGGTTGATGGGTTGGTTGGTTTTGTTTTTTTCTTGTTTGTTTGAGACAGGATCTCAATATGTAGCCTTAGATGGCCTGAAACTTCCTAGGAAGATCAGGTTAGACTTGAACTCACAAAGATCTGGCTGTCTCTGCCTCCCAGGTGCTGGGATTAAAGGCTTGTGCCACCATAACCGAGGGTAATTTTATCTATCAGTCTCCACCATATTCCCCTGAGACACTGAAGCTCAGTTTCTGTGAGGCTGTTGGCCTAGTTCCTAGGATCAGCCTTGTCTTCATCCCCATGCTGAGGTTACAGAAACATGCAGCCATGCCCGCTCTTCTAGCTGGGTGCTAGGGATTCAAACTTAGATCCTTATGCTTTCTTAGCAAATATTCTTACCCAGTGAGCCATTTCCTAGCCCCTAAAATAAACAGAGTGACAAATAATAGAGGGAGAGTAGATGACTTCTGCGGACACCTGCTCTCACACCAGCACAGACATACCCACACCTAATTCAAAGTAAAATACTTTTTACAACTCAAGACTACTATACTAGCTAGTGTCATAGAGATGCATATCTTATTTTTCTGTACCAGAAGTTCTCTGTAGCTGTGTTATTAGAGCTACAAGACCTTCAGAGAGAGCTCTCTTGGAATCAAAGCCCATTTAAAAATAAATTAGAAATATTCAACATTGTTACACCCACAATCAGTTATAGTTTACAGGCTAATCCTGTGAATAACATTTCCTTTTGTTGCATGTCTACAGTAGCATCATTGTCTGGAGAAATGTGCCAATCATTCCTTCAATGTTTTCCTACTGTCTCATCATCTCCTTGCCTGGCCTTGGCTATTCACTGCAGCCCATGTTCTCCTCTGCCTGGAGGTAAGCTCTTCCCTGGTCAGTGCCCATTCCCTATGCTTAGAGCTGGTTTCTACCTGAAAAGTGGCAGCCAAGAAACATACAAAACAGGGCTGAATAGAGAAATCATTAAAGGAATAAAAACAGACTAATATACCCAGCCAATCAATCATGGGCAGATATGTAGCCTATGAACACTATTATAAAACTATCCTAAGGAAAAGTAATGAAAGAGTAACACATACACACACACACACACACACACACGGCTGTTCCACCATGTCTTATCATTAGTAACATTGAAGGAAAGACAGCATAGGATCTACTCTGGGAATACGTATCATTTCTCTTTGTCCTACAGTCCACTGTCTTCTTTGGATTAATTAAAAAAAAAAAAAAACAGTTCTCCCACATCAAATTACTACAATGAATATATACGCAGGCCAGTCCTGTTTTTTTTTTTAAAAAAAAAAAAAAAAAATGTGTGTGAAACAAAACACATGAAGGTTTCTGAAGTTGCCAAGTGGTTGTGGTGCACGCCTTTAATCCCAGCACTTGGGAGGCAGAAGTAAGCGGATCTCTGTGAGTTTGAGGCCAGCCTGGTCTACAGAGTTCCAGGACAGCCAGGGCTACCCAGTGAAAAACCTGTCTTGAAAATCAAAACAAAACAAAACAAACAAACAAACAAAAATTCTGAAGTCACCTCCCTAAATCCACTTATTCCAAGCATTTAATTTTACCAAATGGCACCCAAGCAGCTGATATTATGCCGGTAACATTGAAAATGGTATGGTCTTGATTTATAAACTCACTCTGGGCATTAATGCTAATTAATACACCGTTTTGATAAAAAACTTTTAAGCACTGAATAAAACATAGGATCTGAAAGTACAAAAGTATATACAAAAGGAATAAAATACAAATCTCCAAAAAGTGAGTGTTCTTGAATATGCACTAGAGGAAACAGAGGAAATGAAGAAGATACACCTAGCTGTCAGGTCCTCAAGTCAGTATCAAAGCTTTGAAAATCAAATATGCACAAATTAAGCACCGTAGGAAAAGGAAAGAACAAGGCAGGGAATATGCAAACATGGTTCTGATGAAAGGAGAACTCAGCCTGACTGCTGACAGATGGCAGCTTGTCCCTATTCTACCAAATCCGACTTCTTACAGGGAACCGGTAGGAAACCACTGGGTCTGTTAGCCATTAAACACCTTGGTGAAATCGGAACATGGATAAGAGAAAAAACAGGAACTACACAACTGAGATTTGTAAGAATAACTTTTGATTATATAAAATAGTTAATACAGCTACATTTTTAAATTTTTTTTAATTTTTCTGAATGCACGGAGACATATTAAGTTTTCGTATAAAACTGCAAGAGGAGAACAGAAGCTTTGCATTATAGATACCAGCAGAGTGGAATGGAACAATTCAAATCAACAGTTTTGATGAAAAAAATCATTATATACACAAAATCATTTTTAAAGGACATATAGAACTCAAAAACTGTAAACGGATTCTCATTCTAAACATTTAAACAGTTGCTGTATTAACATCAACTTAAAAACCGTGTCAGTCGGACTAGCGAATGTCAACAGTTAAAATGTAAGTACGCATGCGCAGACAACACGCATGTGCAGAACCTCCAGGCCTGGGTAGAAAGTTCTTCCTAGCTCACCAGCGAAGTGACCTAAAAAGCAGTCAGCGCCTTTCCCCACAACTCACCCAACGTTTTCCGCATCCTCGTCACACTCAGCCTTGTACTTGCACGGTCCACACTTGGAATGTTTCCTGTGAGCCCCTGCTCCTGAGCCCTCCTCCTCTGCTGAAACAGAAAAGTTAATCTTTCAAACAGAAGTTGGGATGGATCCTTTCCAGACATGCTTTCAGGAGCCATTATCTTCTTTTGAAGGAAAATGCACCCAAACTTGTGGAGACGATCACTTCCAAAGAGTCCTCAGAGTTAGAGGCCACAACTGCTGCTGCTACTACCTAACAACATATCCCAAGACACAGCAAGGTTAGCAAAATAACATCTTGGGCTGTGCGAGCAGGAACAATACAGAAGGTTTAATAAACGAATTTCTAAAGAATTACCATTTAATGCTGAGTAGGAGAAAATAAAACATTACAAAACTCCAGTCTGTGACTGTCCTTGCCCTAAAGGAGCCTGTGGAGGCTGAGAGGCACAGACATGCTGGAACAAAGCCTGCTAGAACAGTGTCATCATCACCTCCCTTCACACCAGCTCCACACCCAACTTTCTAAACAGATTAAAACTAACTTCACAGTTAAAAGCCCCTCTTCTCTAGTTGGTCCACTTAGCATAGCCAAAAATACTCAGATGTAGAAAGCTTTGCGTCTCCTATTTCCAAGCCACAAAAGGAGCACATATCATTGTTTGCAAAAAGATTCACAGCCCCCAAACAAGGGCATCCTGTATGTGTGGGCTCAACTAGAGTGGATCTTTGCGCTCTCCCAAAGAAGGCCAGGAGGTCAGCTATGAGGAAGGAGTCTGGCCTCAAGGAACTTGGTATGTGATAAGCTTCCATATCAGGGAGCCTGTCAGTGAAGAACTTATCAAAAGGCAGGTCTACAGATAACACCTAACCTTCCCAGTGTCTGCCATCCGCCTAGTGTGACTGGGAACACTCAAATACAAATGAATACCCAAACAGATTGCAATGATCAGAATAGTTGATAATTTTGAGACCTCAGAGCCATCATGAAATCCGGAACGGCTGAGCTAACCACTAAACTTTCCAACACATGCTCCCTGAAGGCTGAGAACAACCTACATTCTCAGCAAAACAGTCAGAACTGTATTATATTAGCAAATCCTGGGACCATCTGAGGTTCCTAATGGAACAGTGATCACAGGGACCAGGTCACATGATCTCTTAAAATCCTTGCTTGCTCTCAGATCTAAAATTCATGAAGTTAGCTTTCACACATGATTACAAAGCTCTTGCCTAAACACGTCCAGCTAAATCAAATCCTATTGTTCAGTAGCTTTTATCATTTTCTTTCTGGCTGGAACTCCCATCCTTGAATTCCTCCCCATTAATGTTCTGTTCTCTATAGTCCTTCAAAGTCTCTTCCAACTCAGAAACTTTGGGACTCTATGAAATACAGAGGAAGGAGCAGCCTGACACAAGGTTTCATATGGCTAGGATCATAATTGCAGTTTGTATTTGGGCTGAATTTTCCCAGTGAGTGGCCTTTTAACATATCCTCGGGGTACCTCAAATATTATTTTGCATAAGCTTCATTAAACATGAGGCAGATTAGTCATCCTCATTCTGGTCCTACAATGCTATTACCAAATATGACATTTCAATCATCAGAAATAATTTTTCTCTGAAATAAAATTTAAAACAGAAAATTTTTAAAGTTTAACTTTAACTATTAATTCTGCCAGAGCTGTTTTGTGGGCTTTCTCTTATCTAGACACAACTAACTCTAGATTTTTTTTAACCTTGTTATTCTAAAAATAAAATCCTTATGATTTATGATTTTAAAAAAATGGAAGCAAATAAAAGATATTTCAAAGTTGTGTTTCGCGATAAATCACTTGTGTCAACAATCCTGAACAGAAATCAGCTTGTGTAACCTAAATTTAACAGGAGTTATGATGGGTTCCCTTTAGTCTGACAATAAACCTTCAATGAAAGCAGCATGGAACAAAGACTTTCTGAGACTACAAGGATAGCCAAAGAAGCCTTGGCGGCTAGGGGACAGGGCTCCCTGTAAGGATGGTGGTGATGAGCCTCTGACTCTGCATATCACTAAAAGTCCTTGAGCTAGGAACTTCAAGTGAGGCAGCCCTATGGTGTTTGGATTATATCTCAGAGTTGTTAAATATCAAAGGAAAACAAAGGCCTTAAAAGGTATCTGAGCTGGACATGAAGGATTACACCCAGAATGCCATCACTTGAGAGGCTGAGACATGAGAACAAATGTGAGTTCAAGACCAAACCTGAGCTGCACAGGGAGTTCCAAGCCAGCCTAAGCTAGAAATGAACTCTCTCAAAATAGCCAAGTATTTGAAACTCACCTCCTTCTCCAGATCCAGAGCCATTATCTGAGAAGAAAAACAAGAAATGTAAACATTTTTCCTGGAAATTCTATCTTTTCAGATAGTAATATTTCTTATCAAAACAACTGTAACATCTAGGATTATATATTCCTTTTCTCACATTTCTGACAGCTACGTTTTATTTTCATATGTCTACTTTAGGCTGTACAAAGTAGCCTAGACACATAACCATCAGTCCTTCTTATATACTGAATACATTTCTTACATCTCAGAAGTCAGTCGGCCAGGAAATACCCAGATCCTGTGTGCCAAGACTAAAACATACTATAAACGGCTAAACAGAAATGATTAGCCCACTCATTTAAAAGGTAAAAGGAAATTTTAATTTTGTTACGGCTAGAGAGGAGCTGAACAAACTGCTTCTAGTAGAAAGATAAAGGCTGAGCCTGGCTCCAAAAGTCTTCTTAATCAAATCTGTGGATACAGACCAGAGGCCAAAGGGCTTTTTAAAAAAAAAAAAAAAAATCCCTAAGGTTTAGCAAGGAGAACCTCAGGGTTGAATGTGCATAGTAATGATAAAATTAGCTTCCTCTAGGAAATCTATTCAGGATAAATCTCAGACAGAGAACAGCCTAAAATATAATTAATGTACTTTAAAAAAAAATTGTAGTGCTGGGCCTTATGCATACTAGGCAATTTTATTTTGTAGTGCTGGGTCTCGTACATACTATGCTATTCACTCTACCACTGAGTCACACTCCAAACCCTAAAATTTTATTGTGTAGGGCTGAAAGTACCAATATATAACACAGAGTCAAAACATGAGACTCTGTCATATCATCAGCATGGAGCTGTAAAAATTAATAATAAAAAGCAATGGCAGATGAAGATTTTGACACTTTAGTCAGTACTCTATAGGGGAGGTGATATCTTGGCCCCCGGGAATTAATTCTATTCTTCAAATCATCTCTAGAATGGAAGATAATACTGAATACCAGTTCTTCCCTCTAAATGCCACCAGATACGCAACAACAGGGGGATTGGAAAGCACACGTGCAGACAGTGTGGCACGTGCACAGGCTCTGTGTGGAAAGTTTTCAGTTGGATTCCATTTTGATTAAACCAATCGTGTAAGGCTGTCTCCTGAAAGGAAAGAGGGGAAGAATGGAGGAATAGAAGAGGAGGAGGAAGATTGGAATTGAATTTGTAAAAACTTATGAAAACTAACCCTTAGTTTCCTTAGGAAAACTAACTCTTCTCCCTTTTATTCTATGTGTGTTGATTGGACACATATTAAGTTCTAAGAACTGTGATAAATCACAGTGATAAGACACATTCCTAGTACATGAGACACTCACCAGAAACCTTTTTCTCAAGCTGGGTCCACTCTTAATAGATATTTTAAAACGTCACAACTTCCTTGATCATTAAGGATTCCTAAACACGGGGACTGGAGAGAGCAGTTAAGAGCACTCATTGCTCTTCCAGAGGTCCTGAGTTCAATTCCCAGCAACCACATAGTAGCTCACAACCATCTGTAATGGGATCTGATGCCCTCCTCTGGTGTGTCTGAAGAAAGTGACAGTGTACTCATACATATATAAAATAAATCTTTTTTAAAAAAGATTTCCTAAATAAATTAAAAAGTACCCTGATAATACAGTAGTTTCCCATATTAGAATTTTATCAGTGGTACTCACACCCCTGAGTACATCCCATCCCTGAGAAGATGTTTTGTTTCCCTAGACAGGACACACAGCCTCCTAGCTGACAAAGCACGTATGTGGCCGTAAGCAAGCATATCAGTAAGTGAAATGCAGCATGCTACATGCATAGGCACACAGAAGATAAAACAGACTTCCTAGAGAGGTCAGAGAAGAAGGACTTCAGAGTAAAGCCTAAAACAGGATTTTTCTGAGTAATTGAAAGAGAAAATATTTCAAACTCTCAGAATAGGACACCTCTAAAGACCAAAAGGCTGACTGGCCCAGTCAGCAAGCAACAAAGACAATAGGTACCTCACCGCCTCGGTTCCTGAGCTTACCAAGCCCAGAAGGCGGATATCCATATAATGATCCGGATGAGAAATGGATGTAGTTCACAGAGCCATAGCAGCCTGCACAAGGTTACACGGTAAATAAAAGCTGGGACAACTTTAATGTGAGGCCTTCTGCTCCTCGTTTCAGGGTTGTTTGCAGTCTGCCATGCTACCTACTGTCTAACATTCACTGCCTAGCAAAGCGCTTGGTGTCTTACACACGTGCTCCTTATAAATGATCAATATGGCATCAGAAAGAGTCCTCAAAATTTTTAGATCGAGCACAATGTACTTAGAGAAGTATATGAGGACATCCCATAATAGCCCAAGAACACAATACTTTCTCTCAGTACCTAATTATCTTGTGTACAGTAAAAATGTATCCTTGTCCAAAGAGGTCTGATATTTAACCTATGCTTCTGAGCAGTCATTTATAGCATACCTGATAGGAGTGTCTGTTTGGGAGGCAAGTTCTGTATCAGAAATGGAGAGTGAGCCAGCTGTATCTCACAGTATGAGGGCTAGCCACATTAGCGCGATGAAGACTGAGGCTCTGAGTTTAGGGCCCCAGCATCCGTGTAAAAAGCCTGATGTGGCAGCATACTCCAGTAACACCAATACTGGGCAGGCAGAGACATCCTGGGAGCTTCCTAGCCAGGCAGTCTAACTATACCACAGTGGTTTCAGATGCAGTGAGACCATATCTCCAAGAAATAATGACTAGAAGCTGGAAGTTGACTCAGTGGTTAAGAGCATTTGCTACCGTTATTTCCCAGCACCCACAACTCTAGTTCCAAGAGATTAATTCAACACCCTCTTCTGACATTCTAGGGCTCTGCACAGATGTGGTACAAGCAGGTAA